AATGATGAGGTTTATTTCCTTAATTTTCACTGACGTGTCTGAACGGATTATCCGTGCAATTAATGTTATAGTGTTTAATGTCCCAGATGGGCTGCCTCTGAAGAAGCTGGAACACTTGTTACTAGACACCCTCGGGTTTCAAATTGAAGTACCTTGCAGTATGTCTAAATAAAAGCAATTTAAAGCATACGTGCCCGGTGCTAATGAAATTCAAAAACACAGAGTGAGAAAGTGTAAATACGGAATATGTCAGTTATAAAAGCGAAAACCGAACTTAAGCATATTATATTGTTATATGGTCAGGTAAGACACTTGAGCGGATATATACACCTGCATCAAGGAAACAGAGTAAAGCACCTGACCCCTAGCAAACCGACTTACAAACAGCATATGATGAGGATATCTACACGAATGTTCTCTGTGCAGCTGACCTAGATGACACTGCAACTGCGGTTAACTGCCCACTAACACAACCGACCTTCAGTAGCAATATCACTCCCATCCAGAGATCTAATATTATCGTCACGGAATTAGTGGTAACTCCGATAGTATCCACAGATCGACATACTAGATGTTTTATTAATCTGGTCCTAAGCTAGGAGCGACTGCACTCAAGTGATGACGTACACTGGTACGCTGAATTGCTAACTGTCTAATGGTGCAAATTTCTTTTCCGGCAGAGGTGACATGGGACACAGAGGCGCAACATGTGTGCCTACGATCGCAAGGCGCAACGAGCCCTTCGGCTGTGAGAGGTGCACGTTAGCAAACACCAAAGCCGCCATCGACCTGTCATGCGGGGATCGCAAGGCAAAACCAAGGGAACACAAGTCATTCGGCTGTGAGAAATGAACGTTAGCCAGACACCACAGCCGCAATGAATGCATCATGCCTCAACCGCAGGGCAAGACCAAGGGAACGGTCGTTTGGCCGTGAGAAATGGACGTGAGCAAACATCATATTTGCAATCGACCTGTCATGGGTGGATCGCAGGGCAAGACCAAGGTGAAGCACGCCGTTCGGCTCCGAGAACTGGACGTTAACCAGATACCAGATAGCCGTACTGAACGTGTCATGCTTTGAGCGATCGGTTGTCGGCTTTCACGCAGGTGAAATGCCAGAAAGTGGGTTCCCGCGGGTCGGTTAGTGGTTCGCTGTGCTAGGAATGGAGAAGGAGCTTACACCCGTGTCGTCGATGTATCAGCAATCGTAGTCACGTAATGTGCCGGTCCATCAGCGCGTGGTCATTATGCAGCTGTATGGTGAGTGTAGATCCAATGCGGTGGAAACCGCAAGGCGCAATAATAGTATGCACCGCGTTACGCTGCTCATTAATGAGCGGTATTTGCGTCGAGTGGTGAAGTAATTTGCAGAAATTGGCAGTGTTTTGCAACTCCAAACAAACCAGACGGCCTCCCATATTCACGGATGAAGTAGCAGCTTGCGCTGCTGCGCAACAGGTATGCAGAAACAGGCATATCAGCATTCGGCGACGCGCACAACATTCCGTAACCGCACCGTATGCGGTGCATAGGATATTGAAAAAATGTTGACAGCACAGTGGTCTGCAGGTGCAAGTGCTGAGCATATTTGATTCGCAGAAGCGCTTGGAATTTGCCCGTTGGTTTTTAACTAGTCTGCATGGTGCATTTCATTTTGTTCACCGATGAGGCTGTTTTCCCCTGCATGGACAAGAGACGCAACATGCTTTGGCAACAACCAATCCACGGAAATGTAGCGGTTTACGTGTGCAACAGCGCGAAGCTCATGGCCTGGGCTGGGTTGACTGGTCGAAAAATCATTGGGCCTTTTTCTTTTATAGGGGCGTGTCCGGTACGTTGTTGTTTGACAGTACTATTATCTGATATTTCTTAGCATTCTCGTACATTGTATTGTTGCAGAGCAGCGTCATTCTGCAGCTGCAGTCCGAAGGGTTAATGGATAACGTTTGGTGGCAGCAGGATGGCGCACCCGCACACTCAGCGCAATCGGTTCGTGTCTACCTGAACGAGCCATTCGGTGGACGTTGGATCGATCGCGGAGGACCGATAGAATGGCCTACGCGATCACCGGATTTGAATCTCATGGGCATTTTAATGTGTGGATACTTGCATCGCAGAGTTTATAGAATGAAATTCAAGAACATGGATGAACTGAAGGAGAACCTTGTGAACGAATAATGTAGGCATATTTTGTTGGCGACATTGCAGAAAGTGCCCGCCAACACTATCCGGCAAATGCTCCTCTGTAGCCAAAACGACGGAGGGCACTTCGAACATCTAATTCGTTGATATTTACAGACATTTCACATATTCCATGCAAATATATGTAAAGAAAGGAATAAACGTATATTCTCGATTGTACATGAGAAACATTACTGAAAGCCTGAGCAACTTGTACAACTAGCAATTGTCTGGCTGTGAGGGCAATACTTGTATTCATGACTAAATTGGTATGGTGTCAAATAGTGCCACTAATTCGTCGGAGCAGACTGAAAGCTAAGAGCCTAGTCACGTCAAGTCAAGAATTCGTTTATGTACACCCATGAAGGGTGAATTTTCAGCTGTAACACACACGCGATCGAAACGGTAAAGGGAACAACCCTGTAACCTTACAATGTGTTCCTAGTAGTATGATTCCTTTTAGCAGCTATAGCAGCCTAATAAAAGCTCACGGGTTTGTTGCGAGCCAGTCATGAGGCCATGAAAACTTTGTGGCGATAGCAATACGGCGCCCATCGACCGGTCATCACATACGGCCAGGCTGCTTTTCTGTTGTTAGCACAGCGACCCACTAACCACTTCACAGGGAACACTTTTGCTGGTTTTTTCACCTGGGTGAAGGCCGAATACCGAACGATCGAAGCACGATACGTTCATTGCCGCTGTGTTATCTGGTTAACCTTCAGTTCTCACAGCCGAACGACGTGTGTTCCTTTGGTCTTGCCCTGCGAGCCACGCATGACAGGTCGATTGCGGCTGTGCTGTTTGCTAACGTTCACCTCTCACAGCCGAAGGGTTCAGTGTGCCCTGCGATCGTAGGCACACATGTCGCATCTCTGTGTCCCATCTCACATATGCCGGCAAAGCAATTTGCACCATTGGGCAGTTAGCAATTCAGCGTACCAGTGTACGTCAGCGCTTGAGTGCAGATGCTCCTAGCTTCGGACCAGATTAATATAACACCCTGTACCGTCACTGCTAAATCGGGTCGACCAATCAGCCTCCGTGCTTGGCCTCAAAATTAACATCAGCAAGATCAGGTACTTATCATCGCTAGCCACCCGTTCCGTCTCGTCGCCCCTCTTACATGGACAACTCATCAAGTCTGTTCCTGAATTCAAGTACTTTGGATCCACAACTTTCCCCAATGGTCAGGTTACACGCGAAAGTCGAAATCGTATTGACAGCACCAGAACAGTCTTCTTACAGCTGAGAAACACATTGCGGCGAATGATGGAAATTAGTCTGCGAAAGAAGATCTGAGTGTGCTCAACAATCATTCATGCCATTTTACTCTATGGTTGTGAAACATGGCCGCTGCGATCCGAAGACACCCGGAAGCCGGAGTTCTTAGACCATTGACCTAATATCTAGAATTTACCGATATTTGCATCACCATTTTCTAGTTTGTGAGGCTCAGGAGTAGATAATAATAGGAAAGGAATAGCAGGTTTTGCAGACACAGGATCTGGTTTCTGGTGTACTGTTATGGAGTGGGCAAACGGATTGTAAGCAACTAGCTGCTCACATTTTATTTATAATAGCTTCTGTCAATATTTCTATAGTTTGTTGTGAGTTAATGATCTTCAACAGATTTGATACAGGTAGGAAAGTCTGTAAGGAATTTCGAAATATGACATGGTTTGCACTCATGCGTACCTGTAGGGATAGTTTGCTGTTTTATTTAACCAGACACCTCGGGTCACATGGTGTTAACGCACAGATTGATGCTTGATTCTACTGCCTAGATGACGTTAGTGATACGCGCATCTGCGAACACTTTGAGGGAGAGTTCGTCATTCTCTCGGTTTGACAGTGCCAAGTGTAGTGTACCATAAGCCCACTATTGAATGGCGGATTTAGTCTTACCGAATGCGGCATCAGTCAACACTTGGTGGGAAAATGATAGACAGCGTGGCTGAGAGTGTTGACAGTGAACTGGGCCTGTCTTGGATTTGTGCTGATTACCCAGAATATCGTGCGTTTATTTTGACCGATTTGAATTATCCATTGGTTCCGAAGCGTAAACGATGCCCGCTCCCACGGCATGCACTATTCAGGAATGCCTCCATAACTGCATTCGGCCTTGCAGTGTGATTGCGTAGTTGAAGTAGAGACAGAGCGATTGCTTGTATGGGTTGGACTCTCAGCGCTGTGTTGCCAATTCGACCGCACTGTATAGTTTGCGACAATACCAACTCTACAGTGCCTACTTGGACTAGTACTGTTGGCAGGATGGCGTTTCATGCGGATCTCCCTGTTTTGTGGTCTTAAATGAAAGATGGATCTGGGCTGTTTAGGTGTACTAGGATGGCATATCTTACATGGATGAAGTACTCTGGACGTGCAAGACTCGATGAATGAGCTTGGTTGTGGAGAACAGCGAATTAGTTGTAGGTAGTTAATAAATAACCTATAATTTCCCTACGCGGTATTGAAATTTTTCGCGTCAGTCAATCATTTTTCAGTAAAATGTGAGCTAAGATACGGCTCCCCTGGCCGGGTCCTATAAGTCTATTCATAGCTGGGCGATTCAAGAATACGGCTCCCCCTAGTAGTAGGTATGAAGTTGTCAAAATGGCTTTGAGCCCACCGGAGGTTGCGCGTTTATCCGGCGGGTAACATAACATTAGTAGTAATGTTTGCTACGGGGTCTCTGTCTGTAGCTTTGTATACTACACTACGAAGCCTTTCTAAGAGAAAATAATTGCGCACACCAGTTGGCGGGTTTGGAAGGTACAATGAGCTGAGCAGCACAGAACGGAGTTGGAAATATTTTCACAAAGCTGCTGTACTTACCTGAAATGAGTAGTGTGTATCTGAGTGCAACTGTATAGTATTTCGTCGATCATCGCTGGGAGGTGGCTTGAGGAATTCTCTGGTGCACGGCACAATACGGTCCGGTCCTATGTGATAAGTGATGAATATTCGATCTTCGGCAATGTAGAATATCCTTTCAGCAACATCCTCATCAGCTGGTTTAGAAGGGTCACGAGTAAATCGCTCGATAATTTTGTCGATCGCAAGTTGACTGCTAGTGGTAACACACACCAGTGGTCCCCCTTCGGTTTCTTTGGCTAGTTGTGCAGGTCCAAATTTTTTAACTTTTGCTCCGAACAATACCTCACGGTAACACATCCGGTCCTCTCTGCCAACGTAATATTCCTTCATAGTCGTCGGTGTTTGCTCGCGCCGCTGAAGACCATCCACGCGAGCTTCATGGTAAAAAATCATGGTTCGTGCGGCCTGTGGTCCATGTTGATTCCGATTAAATATATGCTGACACAAATGACTAGTTGTTCTACCGTGATCGAAATGCTCCGTAACTTCGTTGGTGCTTGGGATAGTGATACGACTCATAAGCCTGTCAGCACGATGAGCGAATTTCTCGGTCACCTCTACGGGTTTAGTGCGCTCAAGGTCCTCATAGTTGGTCAGTCGAAACACGATTCCATCGGGTTCAGAGTACGGTGCAAACCATTCCACTTTGCATCGGCGATACAAAATTTCCTTGTGACCCTCGGGATATCGCATTTCGTACCTCTGTTGACAGATACTGATTGGCGAGGTCCACGAGGGGGGCAGATCCATCAGGAGTAGCTTGTCCTCTAGACTGGCGGTCGGCTTGACAGGCACGGCTGGTTGGGGCAGGTCGCCTAAGTTAGAGGTACCTGATAGCTTTGTGGAATTCGGCCCACGCGTTTGAGGAATCGTCAGCGTAGGTGCTAAAGCTATGTGGCTACTCTGGGAGCTGTCGTGACTGATGAGCTCGAAATTCAGCGTGGACTGGATGAACATCCCATCATGAGGCCAGTCAGAGATATCGGTCAGTTGGCTACGACCGAATTCTGCTTCAAAGTTCCCTCCGTGCCTCGACCGTAAGCTTCCACTGGGAAGTAAATATTCCCACTGTGTATTGTCCTCCAAATTGTATTGCATTTGCGAAATTCCATTGGAGCAGTCCTGCATATTTACCCAGTAATTCGTCGCATTCCATAGACTTTCAATACCCAAATACATAGGGCTATCCAGTGGATGAGCAACCCCGGTGAGTGTTTCGATGAAGAACGCTTCGGGTACCTCTCTTTTGCCTGCTAATACCAACACCCATGCATGCACTCGTAATCCGCGTAGTGGATCCGCAGGAGGTTCGCACATCCGTTCATCCTCCATCTCGGCATCTTCGGTCGCCTTACGAGCCTTTTCCGCTTCTGCCTGTAGCTCTTTGGCCAATAGAGCCTTTTCGAACTGCGAAGTTAGATCTCTCGGCTGGCGAATCATATATTTCTTGGAATCCGTCTCTTCCTCCGTTTGGGTTGAACGTGGCGCTGGCTTTCGAAACCTGGAGATTAATCGAGTTTCGTCCATGTAGCAACATTCGCGGGTGGCGTAACCACTCACCACATAGGCGTCGTAGCCGACCCCAAGTAGCATGGAACATAATAAGACGGAATACTCAAAGCACGTACCCTTCTGAATGGAAACAGTGGTTGAGGGACTGAGTAAGCGTTTAGGTAACTCAGTCGAAGGTACCAAGGGGACAAACTCCAGAAAGTCAGCCACAAAACTAGCTGCTCCATCCCAAGTGTACAAATTCGGAAATGCTAACTGAGTAGGTCTTAATGTGGTACAGACAAATTTTTCCACTCCACACTCGTTCACCGGATTGAGCAGTAGCCTCGTTCGATCAGGACACAGGATAGCGTACTGGCGTCGGAAATTTTCACAATATTCCAACAATCGTGTCTCCTTGGCGCTGTTTTCTTTATAAGACTGTGGAAATTCGATAGAATCAAAGCATTCTGGTAGTAATTTGTACCCTTTGGGTAAATAAACCGGGTCTAGTAGTCTTAGTTCGGTATCTTGTGAGCATTGGGATTTCGTCGACTCAGTGTCTGGGCAAGTAGGTTCACTTTCGACGGGTGAGCCCTGTGGGGAATGATGTAGCGAATGTACAGACGCCGTATCAACAGCATCAGCATCTTTTGTGGCTTCGGTCGAGTGTCTCCGTGTGGATACCTGTTGAACTTCGGTCTGTGAACTCATTCGGACGCATACATTTTGCTCAGTAATATCTGCAGGAGAAAAGAAGTGATAAAGTTAGTTCCACAAACAAGTAAGTACGATCATTGTTGACGTTCCTCGATGCCAGTAGTCAAATAAAACATTCCATGAAAAAGTGACGCACACAATTTTGCGCTTGCGAATAAAGTTGACGAATAATAATATTAATAAAAATAATAACAAAGTAAATCGCCAGCTGCACACCGTAACGACGCTTTCGCTGCCACGCGACCACCACCAGTCGCGCATAGGCTGAGTATACCGCGAGGACTCCAACTCTTACGCAGATTCGAACCGGTGATCTTATGGTTGCAAACCAGATGCGAATACCACTCGGCCACCGGACGACTGAAGAGTAGTAACAAACTGTATATTCCTCCATAGTGCAAAGCACAAACGCGAGAATGTTATCTTAGTTAAACAGAGTCTTTTAAAGGAAATGTAAAAGTAAGTAGAAGACAGTTCAGATAGACATTATTAGAATAAAAAGAATTAGGACAATATAGAAAAGCCACCACCTGAAATAAATAGACTTAGCATGCAAGCACGCGGTTAGTAAATCAAATGCAGCGTACATACAAATGCTACGCCGGTTCTGCTTACGTTCTCTGCAGGACCCCTCGTCGCTTCGGTGGTGGTCCCGATTGGGCTCCCTCATGGCTCACTAGGTCTGTCTGACTCAGTCACTGGCGACCGCATGTGCTACAGCACCATGCGCTCAATGTCGATGGAGTACAACTCATCGGTGCTTGATGCTTCCGCAATTGCCGCTTCTTCTCTGCATGTATGAGGCCTTTCTCCCGCACCACGGCAACTGCCTTCGTGATCAGATCGCGCCATGCACGCCGATCAACCGCCTTCGATTCCCATGACCTGCGATCAAGATTAGAACGTGAGAGGCTCAGTTTGATCATGTCCTGCTAACGAAGGTTCGGTTTCCCCACATGCCGCTTCCCAATATTCAGTATTCGCGTCGAATCCACACGGCTCACATGACCCAGCCACCTCAGGTGTATCAGCCAAAGTATGCAGTCCACTGTATACCTAGCACTTTGTTGCAACAGTTCCGTGTCAGCAACTCTGTCGCCCCAACCGATCCGCAAAATCCGTCGGAAACATTGCTGATGGAACCGCTCGAGATATCGCACATCCCGCCGGTATATCGTCCACGTTATACTGTCGTATAGAAGAACGGACAGCACCATGGATTTATATATCATCAGCTTCGGACCAATGGTAAGCTGATGGTTGTTCCACACACGGTACTCAAGCTTCCCGAATGTCGCCGCTGCCTTCGATACGCGGATACGAAGCTCACTGTGTATCTGCTGGTTAGTCGACACCACACGCTAAAGTTAGCAGAAGCGGTAAGTGCTTTCCCATACTTCATCATCAATGCTTATTCGGGGCACCAATGTAGGCTGCACCTCCGGTGAAGGCTGAAAGAGACAGACAGTTTTGCTTGTGTGGATAGTAAGTCCGAATTTGGCCGCTGTCGAAGCCAGAGCATTAGTCATATGCTGCAGCTCATCCGCGCTGTGTGCAAACAACGCACAGTCGTCAGCAAACAGTAACGTACGGATAGTTGTCTCACAGACTAGAATTCTCGCACCGAAACGACGGATGTTCAGCAACCCACCATCAATACGGTGCTCCACACGAACACCGTAAGCACAAGCGGCATCGAAAGCACAAGACAACATTGCATGAAGATAAATATTAAACAGGGGAGGAGCTAAGACACAGCCTTGCTCAACACCAGCAACAACGGAAAACTCATCCTAGGTCTCTCCACTCAGTTGCACCCTCGCTCGCCTAGCGCTGTGCAGACATCAATTAAACTTACAAACTTACGCTGGCAACCAAACTTACCGAACACTAGCCACAATGCCTTGCGGTTCACCGTATCAAATGCCTTGGTGAAATCAACAAAAAGTGACTACAACGGCTGGCCTCGTTCTCTGCACTTCTCCTGCAACTACCGAGCCGCAAACACCATATCTAGAGTGTTGCGATCTTTACGGAATCCGCCTTGCTCTTTCACCACGTTCGGTTCCATAACCTGACTCAGGATGCTGTTAAGCGGGATCCTGGCAATCACCTTGCCCACACAACTCAGCAAATTGTTGCCACGATAATTGGTGCAACATTGCTTGCTACCTTTGTCCTTGTACAATGGTAGCACAAGGGCATCCTGCAGCTCAGGAGGTGCTTTGTCCTCAATCCATACACGTTGCACCAAGTGGTGCAGCGTAGTCAACAACGCAGGTCCGCAGTGTTTCAATACTTCAGACGGGATCCCGTCGGCCCCAGCACACTTGCCGTTTCGCAGCTAAGTGCTCTCTGCGTCTCATCCAGTGTCGGCGTGCCGCCAGTCTCGCCTTCACATTGTTCTGCTTGAGGCCGTTCAATGTAGGCCAGTCGATCTCTGAACGGTTGTTCAAGAGGCAGTCAATTTGTTTTCGCCAGATCTGCATTATGTCTGCAGTCTGTGTGCAGGTAGCGCCTGAACTACCATCGATCAGCGTCCTCAGCGGCTCAAACCTCGGTCTGTACACTGCCTTCAAGGAGTCAAAGAATTCCTTGTCTTGGCGGCGTTCGGCGTAGCATTCCATCTACTTCGCCTTCTTCGTCCACCATGCATTTTTTATGCGACGGAGCTCTCCGGTCATTCGCCGACGTAGTTTGCGAAACTGACAACTCTTCCTCAAGTCACTGGGGTCTGCAACATGTGCGTCAAATGCTGCATTCTTCCCGACACCAATGCGCCAATCGTCGCATTTTTGTCATCAAACCAATCAGGTCGCTTACAGTTTACGCGCCCGATGGTCTCCTCGGTAGCAGCTGTCATCTGGTCGCTAATGTGATGCTACAGGTCGCCTACTGTGGCTAGGCAGTCCAGATCATACAGATGTGCAGCCATCGCCTTCTCCAGCTCAGGACGTTTCGCCCCAGTACCGAGGGAGAGAATGTTGAATTTACGCCAATTCACGGCGGGAGTGCAATACAAAGATTTACAAAAATATATGTACAGTTTGGTTCTCACCAATTTGTGATCAGTGCCACAATCATACCCGCGCAGTACACGTGTCATGCGTACTTCACGCATATCACGCTGACGTACGATGACATAGTCGAGCAGATGAGCGTGACCACTCCGTGGGTGCGTCCAAGTTGCTATATCATTTGCACTCAGTGAAAACCGTGTGTTCGTGATCGTCAGGCTCTGAGTGGCGCAAAGTGAGAGTAGCATGTCACCGTTTGCATTCGCTGAACTAATGCCATGAGAACCGATAACATCTGTCCACATCGATGCATCACACCCAACGCGCGTTTGAAATCACCCAGCAGAAATAGTCAGTCGCTCCTCGGCACAGACCGTGTCAGGGAGGATAACTGAGTAGAAAACTGAGCACGCGTGTCATCAGGAAAACTCATGGTTGGACCGTACGTGCACATAAAAGTGGCAAACTTACCTCTTCAGAGTCGTAGGCGAACAGTCAACAGTCGCGCGCTGATGGCAGTTGGTTCACCAACCAGCAGGCCATGGAGGCAATCGGATATTGCAAATCCGACCCCATGATCACGTGATGCTGAGGCCGCGTTGCCTACCCAGTAGAATGTGTAGCCACCACCTGCTTCATGCAACTTACCTTGCTCAGCGAGCCGGGTTTCACTGAGCGTCGCAATATCGATGTGGTAACGCGCCAGCTCCATCGAGAAGACTGTATATATATATATATATATATATATATATATATATATATATATATATATATATATATATGCTGGTCAGTTGCAGAAGAAGTGCAGAGAACGAGGCCAGCCGTTGTAGTCACTTTTTGTTGATTTCACCAAGGCATTTGATACGGTGAACCGCAAGGCATTGTGGCTAGTGTTCGGTAAGTTTGGTTGCCAGCGTAAGTTTGTAAGTTTAATTGATGTCTGCACAGCGCTAGGCGAGCGAGGGTGCAGCTGAGTGGAGAGACCTCTGATGACTTTACAGTTGTCTCTGGTGTGAAGCAAGGCTGTGTCTTAGCTCCTCCCCGGTTTAATATTTATCTTCATGCAATGTTGTCTTGTACTTTCGATGCCGCTTGTGCTTACGGTGTTCGTGTGGAGCACCGTATTGATGGTGGGTTGCTGAACATCCGTCGTTTCGGTGCGAGAATTCTAGTCTGTGAGACAACTATCCGTACGTTACTGTTTGCTGACGACTGTGCGTTGTTTGCACACAGCGCGGATGAGCTGCAGCACATGACTAATGCTCTGGCTTCGACAGCGGCCAAATTCGGACTTACTATCCACACAAGCAAAACTGTCTGTCTCTTTCAGCCTTCACCAGAGGTGCAGCCTACATTGGTGCCCCGAATAAGCATTGATGATGAAGTATGGGAAAGCACTTACCGCTTCTGCTAACTTTAGCGTGTGGTGTCGACTAACCAGCAGGTACACAGTGAGCTTCGTATCCGCGTATCGAAGGCAGCGGCGACATTCGGGAAGCTTGAGTACCGTGTGTGGAACAACCATCAGCTTACCATTGGTCCGAAGCTGATGATATATAAATCCATGGTGCTGTCCGTTCTTCTATACGACAGTATAACGTGGACGATATACCTGCGGGATGTGCGATATCTCGAGCGGTTCCATCAGCAATGTTTCCGACGGATTTTGCGGATCGGTTGGGGCGACAGAGTTGCTGACACGGAACTGTTGCAACAAAGTGCTAGGTATACAGTGGACTGCATACTTTTGCTGATACACCTGAGGTGGCTGGGTCATGTGAGCCGTGTGGATTCGACGCGAATACTGAATATTGGGAGGCGGCATGTGGGGAAACCGAACCTTCGTTAGCAGGACATGATCAAACTGAGCCTCTCACGTTCTAATCTTGATCGCAGGTCATGGGAATCGAAGGCGGTTGATCGGCGTGCATGGCGCGATCTGATCGCGAAGGCAGTTGCCGTGGTGCGGGAGAAAGGCCTCATACATGCAGAGAAGAAGCGGCAATTGTGGAAGCATCAAGCACCGATGAGTTGTACCCCATCGACATTGAGCGCATGGTGCTGTAGCACATGCGGTCGCAAGTGACTGAGTCCGACAGACCTAGTGAGCCATGAGGGAGCCCAATCGGGACCACCACCGAAGCGACGAGGGGTCCTGCAGAGAACGTAAGCAGAACCGGCGTAGCATTTGTATGTACGCTGCATTTGATTTACTAACCGCGTGCTTGCATGCTAAGTCTATTTATTTCAGGTGGTGGCTTTTCTATATTGTCCTAATTCTTTTTATTCTAATAATGTCTATCTGAGCTGTCTTCTACTTACTTTTACATTTCCTTTAAAAGACTCTGTTTAACTAAGATAACATTCTCGCGTTTGTGCTTTGCACCATGGAGGAATATACAGTTTGTTACTACTCTTCAGTCGTCCGGCGGCCGAGTGGTATTCGCATCTGGTTTGCAACCATAAGATCACCGGTTCGACTCTGCGTGGCAGTGGGCGTCCTCGCAGTATACTCAGCCTATGCGCGACTGGTGGTGGTCGCGTGGCAGCGAAACGTCGTTACGGTGTGCAGCTGGCGATTTACTTTGTTATGATTATTATTATTATTATTATAACTCTTCAAGTTTATTCGCAAGCACAAAACTGGGTGCGTCACTTTTTCATGGAATATTTTACTTGACTACTGGCATCGAGGAACGTCAATAATGATCGTACTTACTTGTTTGTGGAACTAATTTTATCTCTTCTTTTCTCCTGCAGATATTACTGAGCAAAATGTATGCCTCCGAATGAGTTCACAGACCGAAGTTCAACAGGTATCCACACGGAGACACTCCACCGAAGCCACAAAAGATGCTGATGCTGATGATACGGCGTCTGTACATTCGCTACATCATTCCCCACAGGGCTCACCCGTCCAAAGTGAACCTACTTGCCCAGACACTGAGTCGACGAAATCCCAATGCTCACAAGATACCGAACTAAGACTACTAGATCCGGTTTATTTACCTAAAGGGTACAAATTACTACCAGAATGCTTTGATTCTATCGAATTTCCACAGTCTTATAAAGAAAACAGCGCCAAGGAGACACGATTGTTGGAATATTGTGAAAATTTCCGACGCCAGTACGCTATCCTGTGTCCTGATCGAACGAGACTACTGCTCAATCCGGTGAACGAGTGTGGAGTGGAAAAATTTGTCTGTACCACATTAAGACCTACTCAGTTAGCATATCCGAATTTGTACACTTGGGATGGAGCAGCTAGTTTTGTGGCTGACTTTCTGGAGTTTGTCCCCTTGGTACCTTCGACTGAGTTACCTAAACGCTTACTCAGTCCCTCAACCACTGTTTCCATTCAGAAGGGTACGTGCTTTGAGTATTCCGTCTTATTATGTTCCATGCTACTTGGGGTCGGCTACGACGCCTATGTGGTGAGTGGTTACGCCACCCGCGAATGTTGCTACATGGACGAAACTCGATTAATCTCCAGGTTTCGAAAGCCAGCGCCACGTTCAACCCAAACGGAGGAAGAGACGGATTCCAAGAAATATATGATTCGCCAGCCGAGAGATCTAACTTCGCAGTTCGAAAAGGCTCTATTGGCCAAAGAGCTACAGGCAGAAGCGGAAAAGGCTCGTAAGGCGACCGAAGATGCCGAGATGGAGGATGAACGGATGTGCGAGCCTCCTGCGGATCCACTACGCGGATTACGAGTGCATGCATGGGTGTTGGTATTAGCAGGCAAAAGGGAGGTACCCGAAGCGTTCTTCATCGAAACACTCACCGGGGTTGCTCATCCACTGGATAGCCCTATGTATTTGGGTATTGAAAGTCTATGGAATGCGACGAATTACTGGGTAAATATGCAGGACTGCTCCAATGGAATTTCGCAAATGCAATACAATTTGGAGGACAATACACAGTGGGAATATTTACTTCCCAGTGGAAGCTTACGGTCGAGGCACGGAGGGAACTTTGAAACAGAATTCGGTCGTAGCCAACTGACCGATATCTCTGACTGGCCTCATGATGGGATGTTCATCCAGTCCACGCTGAATTTCGAGCTCATCAGTCACGACAGCTCTCAGAGTAGCCACATAGCTTTAGCACCTACGCTGACGATTCCTCAAACGCGTGGGCCGAATTCCGCAAAGCTATCAGGTACCTCTAACTTAGGCGACCTGCCCCAACCAGCCGTGCCTGTCAAGCCGACCGCCAGTCTAGAGGACAAGCTACTCCTGATGGATCTGCCCCCCTCGTGGACCTCGCCAATCAGTATCTGTCAACAGAGGTACGAAATGCGATATCCCGAGGGTCACAAGGAAATTTTGTATCGCCGATGCAAAGTGGAATGGTTTGCACCGTACTCTGAACCCGATGGAATCGTGTTTCGACTGACCAACTATGAGGACCTTGAGCGCACTAAACCCGTAGAGGTGACCGAGAAATTCGCTCATCGTGCTGACAGGCTTATGAGTCGTATCACTATCCCAAGCACCAACGAAGTTACGGAGCATTTCGATCACGGTAGAACAACTAGTCATTTGTGTCAGCATATATTTAATCGGAATCAACATGGACCACAGGCCGCACGAACCATGATTTTTTACCATGAAGCTCGCGTGGATGGTCTTCAGCGGCGCGAGCAAACACCGACGACTATGAAGGAATATTACGTCGGCAGAGAGGACCGGATGTGTTACCGTGAGGTATTGTTCGGAGCAAAAGTTAAAAAATTTGGACCTGCACAACTAGCCAAAGAAACCGAAGGGGGACCACTGGTGTGTGTTACCACTAGCAGTCAACTTGCGATCGACAAAATTATTGAGCGATTTACTCGTGACCCTTCTAAATCAGCTGATGAGGATGTTGCTGAAAGGATATTCTACATTGCCGAAGATCGAATATTCATCACTTATCACATAGGACCGGACCGTATTGTGCCGTGCACCAGAGAATTCCTCAAGCCACCTCCCAGCGATGATCGACGAAATACTATACAGTTGCACTCTGATACACACTACTCATTTCAGGTAAGTACAGCAGCTTTGTGAAAATATTTCCAACTCCGTTCTGCGCTGCTCAACTAATTGTACCTTCCAAACTCGCCAACTGGTGTGCGCAATTATTTTCTCTTAGAAAGGCTTCGTAGTGTAGTATACAAAGATACAGACAGAGACCCCGTAGCAAACATTACTACTAATGTTATGTTACCCGCCGGATAAACGCGCAACCTCCGGTGGGCTCAAAGCTATTTTGACAACTTCATACCTACTACTAGGGGGAGCCGTAAGCTTGAATCGCCCAGCTATGAATAGACTTATAGGACCCGGCCAGGGGAGCCGTATCTTAGCTCACATTTTACTGAAAAATGATTAACTGACGCGAAAAATGTCAATACCGCTTAGGGGAATTATAGGTTATTTATTAACTACCTACAACTAATTCGCTGTTCTCCACAACCAAGCTCATTCATCGAGTCTTGCACGTCCAGAGTACTTCATCCATGTAAGAAATGACATCCTAGTACACCTAAACAGCCCAGATCCATCTTTCATTTAAGACCACAAAACAGGGAGATCCGCATGAAACGCCATCCTGCCAACAGTACTAGTCCAAGTAGGCACTGTAGAGTTGGTATTGTCGCAAACTATACAATGCGGTCGAATTGGCAACACAGCGCTGAGAGTCCAACCCATACAAGCAATCGCTCTGTCTCTACTTCAACTACGCAATCACACTGCAACGCCGAATGCAGTTATGGAGGCATTCCTGAATAGTGCATGCCGTGGGAGCGGGCATCGTTTACGCTTCGGAACCAATGGATAATTCAAATCGGTCAAAATAAACTCACGATATTCTGGGTAATCAGCACAAATCCAAGACAGGCCCAGTTCACTGTCAACACTCTCAGCCACGCTGTCTATCATTTTCCCACCAAGTGTTGACTGATGCCGCATTCGGTAAGACTAAATCCGCCATTCAATAGTGGGCTTATGGTACACTACACTTGGCACTGTCAAACCGAGAGAATGACGAACTCTCCCTCAAAGTGTTCGCAGATGCGCGTATCACTAACGTCATCTAGGCAGTAGAATCAAGCATCAATCTGTGCGTTAACACCATGTGACCCGAGGTGTCTGGTTAAATAAAACAGCAAACTATCCCTACAGGTACGCATGAGTGCAAACCATGTCATATTTCGAAATTCCTTACAGACTTTCCTACCTGTATCAAATCGGTTGAAGATCATTAACTCACAACAAACTATAGAAATATTGACAGAAGCTATTATAAATAAAATGTGAGCAGCTAGTTGCTTACAATCCGCTTGCCCACTCCATAACAGTACACCAAAAACCAGATCCTGTGTCTGCAAAACCTGCTATTCCTTTCCTATTATTATCTACTCCTGAGCCTCACAAACTAGAAAATGGTGATACAAATATCGGTAAATTCTAGATATTAGGTCAATGGTCTAAGAGCTCCGGCTTCCGGGTGTCTTCGGATCGCAGCGGCCATGTTTCGCAACCATAGAGTAAAATGGCATGAATGATTGCTGAGCACACTCAGATCTTCTTTCGCAGACTAATTTCCATCATTCGCCGCAATGTGTTTCTCAGTTGTAAGAAGACTGTTCTGGTGCTGTCAATACGATTTCGGAGTTCGCGTGTAGCCTGACCATTGGGGAAAATTGTGGATCCAAGGTACTTGAATTCAGGAACAGACTTGATGAGTTGTCCATGTAATAAGGGCGACGAGACGGAACGGGTGGCTGACAATGATAAGTACCTGATCTTGCTGATGTTAATTTTGAGGCCAAGCACAGGGGCTGATTGGTCGACCCGATTTAGCAGTGACTGTACAGGGTGTTATATTAATCTGGTCCGAAGCTAGGAGCGTCTGCACTCAAGCGCTGACGTACACTGGTACGCTGAATTGCTAACTGCCCAACGGTGCAAATTGCTTTGTCGGCATAGGTGAGATGGGACACAGAGATGCGACATGTGTGCCTACGATCGCAGGGCACACTGAGCCTTTTGGCTGTGAGAGGTGAACGTTAGCAAACAGCACAGCCGCAATCGACCTGTCATGCGTGGCTCGCAGGGCAAGACCAAAGGAACACACGACGTTCGGCTGTGAGAACTGAAGGTTAGCCAGATAACACAGCGGCAATGAACGTATCGTGCTTCGATCGTTCGGTATTCGGCCTTCACCCAGGTGAAAAAACCAGCAAAAGTGTTCCCTGTGAAGTGGTTAGTGAGTCGCTGTGCTAACAACAGAAAAGCAGCCTGGCCGTATGTAATGACCGGTCGATGGGCGCCGTATTGCTATCGCCACAAAAGTTTTCATGGCCTCATGACTGGCTCGCAACAAACCCGTGAGCTTTTATTAGACCGCTATAGCTGCTAAAAGGAATCATACTACTAGGAACACATTGTAAGGTTACAGGGTTGTTCCCTTTACCGTTTCGATCGCGTGTGTGTTACAGCTGAAAATTCACCCTTCGTGGGTGTACATAAACGAATTCTTGACTTGACGTGACTAGGCTCTTAGCTTTCAGTCTGCTCCGACGAATTAGTGGCACTATTTGACACCATACCAATATAGTCATGAATACAACTACTGCCATCACAATCAGACAATTGCTAGTTGTACAAATTGATCAGGCGTTCGATGGGGTTTCCCATGTACAATCGAGAATATACATTTATTCCTTTCTTTACTTATATTCACATGGAATGTGTGAAATGTCTGTAAATATCAACGAATTAGATGTTCGAAGTGCCCTCCGTCGTTTTGACTACAGAGGAGCGTTCGCCGGATAGTGTTGGCGGGCACTTTCTGCAATGTCGCCAACAAAATCTGCCTACATTATTCGTTCACAAGGTTTTCCTTCAGTTCATCCATATTCTTGAGTTTCATTCTATAAATTCTGCGCTTCAAGTATCCCCACATTAAAATGTCCATGGGATTCAAATCCGGTGCTCGCGTAGACCATTCTATCGGTCCTCCGCGATCGATCCAACGTCCACCGAATGTCTCGTTCAGGTAGACACGAACCGATTGTACTGAATGTGCGGGTGCGCCGTCCTGCTGCTAGCAAACGTTATCCATTAACCCTTCGAATTGCAGCTGCAGAATGACGCTGCTCTGCAACAATACCATGTACGAGGATGCTAGGAAATGTCAGATAATAGTACTGTTAAACAACAACCTACCGGACACACCCCTATAAAAGAAAAAAGGCCCAATGATTTTTCGATCAGTCAACCCAGCCCAGGCCATGAGCTTCGCGCTGTTGCACACGTAAAACGCTACATTGCCGTGGATTGGTTGTTGCCAAAGCATGTTGCGTCTCTTGTCCATGTAGGGGAAAACAGCCTCATCGGTGAACAAAATGGAATGCACATTCAGACTGTTTAAAAACAAACGGGCGAATTCCAAGCGCTTCTGCGAATCGAATGTGTTCAACACTTGCACCTGCATAGCACTGTACTGTCATCATTTTTTCAATATCCTATGCACAGCATACGGTGCGGTTACGGAATGTTGTGCGCGTCGCCGAATGCTGAGATGGCTGTTACTGCATACCTCGTGCGCAACCGCGCAAGCAGCTACTTCCTCCGTGACTGTGCGAGGCCGTCCGGTTTGTTTGAAGTTGCAAAACACTGCCAATTTATGCAAATTTCTTCACCACTCGACGCAAATCCCGCTCGTTAATGGGGCCGCGTAACGCGGCGCATACTATTAGAGCGCCTTGCGGTTTCCGCCGCATTGAATCCACACGCACTATACAGCTGCATAATGACCACACGCTGATGGACCGGCACATCGGGTGACAACGGTTGATGATACATCGACGACACGGGTGTAAGCTCCTTCTCCATTACTAGCACAGCGAACCACTAACCGACCCGCAGGAACCCATTTTTCTGGCACTTCACCTGCGTGAAGGCCGCCAACCGATCGATCGAAGCATGACACGTTCAGTACGGCTATCCGGTATCTGGCTAACGTCCAGTTCTCAGAGCCGAACAGCGTGCTTCACCTTAGTCTTGCCCTGCGATCCACCCATGACAGGTCGATTGCAAATGTGGTGTTTGCTCACGTCCATTTCTCACAGTCAAACGACCGTTCCCTTGGTCTTGCCCTGCGGTTGAGGCATGATGCATTTATTGCGGCTGTAGTGTCTAGCTAACCTTCAGTTCTCACAGCCGAACGGCGTGTGTTCCTTTGGTCTTGCCCTGCAAGCCACGCATGACAGGTCGATTGCGGCTGTGCTGTTTGCTAACGTTCACCTCTCACAGCCAAAAGGCTCAGTGTGCCCTGCGATCGTAGGCACACATGTCGCATCTCTGTGTCCCATCTCACCTATGCCGACAAAGCAATTTGCACCATTGGGCAGTTAGCAATTCAGCGTACCAGTGTACGTCAGCGCTTGAGTGCAGACGCTCCTAGCTTCGGACCAGATTAATAAAACATCTAGGATGTCGGTCTGTGGATACTATCGGAGTTACCACTAATTCCGTGATGATAATAGTAGATCTCTGGATGGGAGTGATATTGCTACTGAAGATCGGTTGTGTTAGTGGGCAGTCAACCGCAGTCACGGAGTCATCTAGGTCAGCTGCACAGAGAAGATTCATGTGGATATCCTCATCATATGCTGTTCGTAAGTCGGTTTGCTAGAGGTCAGGTGCTTTACTCTGTTTCCTTGATGCAGGTGTATGTATCCGCTCGTGTCTTACCTGACCCTATAACAATATAATATTCTTAAGTTCGGTTGTCGCTTTTATAACTGACATATTCCGTATTAACAATTTCCCACTCTGTTTTTGAATTGCAATAGCACCGGGCACGTATGCTTTAAATTGCTTTTATTTAGACATATTGCAAGGTACTTCATTTTGAAACCCGATGGTGTCTACTAGCTAGTGTTTCAGCTTCTTCAGAGGTAGCCCATCTGGGACAGTAAACAATATAACATTAATTGCACGGATAATCCGTTCAGACACGTCAGTGAAAATCA